ACCCCCCGCCACCGGCGTGTATGCTTGTAATGGCGGCTGGAGGGGCCGTCGGTGAGATTTGTACGGGCGGCCATGGGGTGCGGGGTAAGGGGAGCCTTGGGTGGAGGACGGGAGGCCTCCCCAGAACCAGGCTGCCAGTTTAATGGGGGAGGAGGTGCCGCTCACGGCAGGAGTAAGGCGGGAAGTCTTTTGATCCGATCAGGCTTTGTGGTGGCGCGAAGGCCCGTTTGGGAAGGTCGGTACCGTGCTGTTTTTTAGACGGGTCTTGCCTCTTTCCCTCACACTTCCTTCCTCGCGCACGCATACAACGCCCGCGAAATGCAGCTTGCGCCTTGAGCAGAGCCTGGCGTTCAGCAACTGACTGAGAAAAGGCTTCACCCGCGGAATCGGGGCTTATCAAGCGAATGCCCCAAGCACAGTGTTGATAGTGATACAGGATGCGGATGTGCCGAAAATTAGCCGGTGAAATAACTCTCCTGTAGCTGCACCTTCGTGGCAGGAGAAGCTTCCCCTGTTAACGTTTAACATTGCTGAGATTGTATTTGCAGTACACGGGAGCAGGATTAGTAAGGGGGAAAGGGCAAGGCTGTTTCTTTTAAAAATGTATTCTGTGCCTTTAACATTGGCCTGACATTCAGTAACTTAGCACATGATTTTCCTCAATATCTGCCCCCCCATTCCACCCCCTTTCTGTGTACCAGGATAAAAAACAAAAGTGTTAGGGAAATGACTTTCTAGTGAAATTAATTTTGCGCACAGAGGCCATTGCCAGGAAAGCAGAATGGGTCTCCTGGATGTCTATGGTGTTATGCATCTTTGTTATATATTTGTTATTTTCAGTTGATGGTTAAAGATGGAGAGAGGCAGAGGAGGAGGAGGAGGAAGGAGTGTGGGGGGCTCTGGACTACACAGGAGCATTTACTCCCAGTCCCAGCAGCAGTATCATTATCCTGCCTCCTCTTCTCAGGCGGGCTGCATGGAAATCCAGGAGCTGGCCTCCAAAAGAGTGGACATCCAAAAAAAGAGATTTTATCTGGATGTGAAGCAAAGTTCTCGAGGTCGTTTTCTGAAGATAGCCGAAGTCTGGATAGGAAGAGGCAGGCAGGACAATATCAGAAAAAGCAAGCTGACTCTTTCTTTATCAGTAGCTTCTGAATTGAAGGATTGCCTGGGTGATTTCATAGAACACTATGCCCATTTGGGCTTGAAAAGCAGCCAGAGTCACCGGAATGACCACACTAATGGCAAAGAACAAGATTCAAGAAGGCGGCAACACCATCAACTACCCTCACCTCCGGCGTCAGTGGGATCTGAGGAACATCTTCACAGCGTCTTAAAAACCGAATATATTGAAAGAGACAATAGGAAGTATTACCTAGACCTAAAAGAGAATCAACGTGGACGTTTCTTAAGGATTAGACAAACTTTGATTAGAGGACCTGGCATGATAGGATATTTTGGTCACAGTTTGGGGCAGGAACAGACTATTGTCCTTCCGGCACAGGGAATGATTGAATTCAGGGATGCTTTGGTCCAGCTTATTGAAGAATATGGGGAAGGAGATATAGAAGAAAGGAGGAGTGGAGGTGATGATCCTCCTGAACTCCCAGAGGGGACTTCCTTCAGGGTGGACAACAAGAGGTTCTACTTTGATGTGGGATCTAACAGGTATGGTATTTTTTTGAAGGTAAGTGAAGTGAGGCCTCCATACCGTAACACCATAACTGTCCCATACAAAGCATGGACAAGATTTGGGGAAAACTTTATCAAGTATGAAGAGGAGATGAGGAGAATTTACAACGGCCATAAAGAGAAAAGAATGGATATCAGAGGGGACAGTGGAGAAGAACAAGAGGGTCTTGATTAGAATGTTTTTCAGCAGGCCAAGAATCAAAGCAGAGAAATGCCAGAAGGTACTGATATGTAATGGCTGGAAGAAGTTGCCTTTCTTTTTGTAAGTTCTTCCCTGTTATTAGATAATTCCAATATATATAACTACATGGGTCTGGTTTTCATGTTAAATTACACCCAGCAACTTCTCTGGTTTCTTACAGGAACAATTAATCACCCTGTGATTCTGATTCTTAACCTCACAAGATTATCAAATATGTATAATAGCACTAACTCTGTTGTAATCTTTAAAGAATATGTATAAGGTTTGTGTTGCAGTGTAACATGATGCAAATAAGCCAGATTGAATTAATATCTTGTAATAGTAACCAAGAGCATTTATGACCAAAACTGATCTTTAAATTTTAAATGATTGTATTGGGAAAGGTATATTTAACTAAGTAAATCTGCTGGTTGCTTTATGGTAAAAATATTTTTAGGGGAGGAGGAATTGGTCTTCTCTGTTATATTGGCCAGTGATTAATTTCATGGGTTCCTAATCGTATGATAATCCAGTAATTTAAGTGACCCCCCAAAAGATATATCTGTGTTTAATGTTGATCATAAATCATCCCTTCTGTATGGATTGTTCACATCTTGTGAGGAGAGCTTATTTAAATAGCATTACAGAATTTCAAAACTATTTTTATATTTGTGGGGTTAAGTGGTTCTAACAAGTTGCTGTGATGTGGGAATTTGGTAGATGAACTATGGTTGGGATTAAAATTCTAAACAGGGAGGTTTAATGTCTACAATGTGGAAAAATATTAAAATAATTTCTGATTTTGTCTTCAAGAAAATACTTTGAGAGATTTTGGTGCATCAGTTAGTTGGTATCGAGCATATCAGATTTTACATTGCTGCAATTGAAGTATTAACTAATAGCTATCAATTCTTATTTTGAAATCTTGGCTCTTAAATATTTACTTCAAATTATAAACTGCATTTTTCTTTTGTTAAAACATTAACCCATGTATCCCCAAATTAATCTGTAAAGGTGCATTTTATAGATGAGTGTTCCAATCGAAAGATGCATTTTGACATTTAAAAAATGTCAAGAAAATGGCTAGAGAAACCTGTGCTAGTTAGCCAATGGTTAGGAGATTTATCATGAAACAAAAATGTAATACGTACTTCGTTTGTTTGGCAAAAATGATCAACTCTGTCTATATTTAAATGGGAATAAAACCAACTGAATACAGCGAAACTAAGTACAATATTGCATCGACATGACCAGGATTGCGCTGTAAATCACATTTTAAATTGGAGTTCAAAGTGCCAAAGCATTCGCTTTTGACCTTGATACTGTGTAAGCTATTTCTGTGTTTAAACCTGCTATTTTACATGTATAGAAACATGACTGCATTTTTTTTCTTTAAAATAACTGGTTGTTTCAATCTCAGTATTTATTTATTTCTTTTTCATATCCAAATATTCTAATAGCCAAGCAGCAAGGTTTTGTAGTTTCAGTTGTATTCTGCTTGGTATTTCCATTTCAGTGCCATTTTAAATGTATGCTGTGACCTCCTTTCCCAAGGATTGTTAATAAAAATGGAGACCATAGGCTTGCATTTAATGTGGTATGAAAAGTTATCCAATACTTTTTTTTTAGAAAGAGAAGAAAAAAGATTGCACCAAAATCATCAAAGGAACTTTAGAAATGTGTGCTATAGTTGTGACAAAGAAAAAATAATAATTTCACTGTTTTAGGTGATTTGCCTAATATTTGGAAATTGGACCTAATGAGTGTTTGGCTGTTTCAGAAATAACTAACAATGTTTAACTTCAAACTAATCTAGTTTTAATATTTTAATTACTAGTGGTCTGTTGGCCCAGGGTAAGTCATGAAAGATTCTGAGTAAATACTGGCATGAAAGTATATGTTCTAAGGAAGAAAATTAGAGGTCTAAATGAAAGGATTTTATGTACTGTTGTTGATTTGATAGCAGATTTGTAGTGAATTGTCTAAACCTAAATTACCATTCTGCTGGTTTGCTGATGCACATCCCAATACCTGTAGTAATTGTAACGTCCAGTTTTACAACATGGAATCCATGAATGTATGAATTCCTGATGCTCACATTTTCCCATCTCTTGCTTTTCTATTTCCCCTATTTCATCATATGTAAAAGGTTTTATTTCAAAATTAAACTTTCATCAGTTGATACATTTTTATGGGAACTTTACCTTATCAAGTTTAATAGAAACAAATATACTAATATTCTATTTTTGTGTTTGAAAAAATGCATTTCTTCTGCAGCTTTTTTTTAGCAAATAGGTAAAGTGTTATCTTTATCACTACAGTAAAAATGTATATTAGTTCATACACTGGCCTGTACAAGTTTGCACTACTTTATCTTCTTTTTTGTATTGAGCCAGATAGTCAGCAGTTGCTGTTTATATTGCTGTCTTCCCCTGCCCCAAATTTGTGTATTCTTGTGCCACTAAATAAGGTTCAGTTTTCCTCTGTCTATGGGCACAGATTGCCATGTTCTTCGAATCAACTAATGTACTTAAACACAGATGTGAGCATCTGAGAGGGATTACACATGAGCCTTAAAATTGCCACCTGCTATATATATATAGTGGATATATTGGTTTTGTCTTATTATTGGACATAACTGGATGTGTTTATATCCAGTTATATTATTGGACATAACTGGATGTGTTTATATCTTTAAACCCAAGTAATATATGGTCCAATTTACATTGGTAAGAGTTGAAATGGTAATTTGGGAAAGAGTTTCTCTTTACATCTGACAGTACATGCACTTCTTTGGAAAGTGGCAATAACATGTTAAAAACTTGCAGAAGGATCTGTTATGATGTAAAGAAATATTCTTTGCATCCCAAAAATGCCATATCCCTTAAACTTGAGAAAAACACAAGCTTATTTGCACTAAAAAAGCGTGGCCAAAAACAATTCTAGGAGGGCAGGGTGGACATAATCAATTTGTACCTCTTGAATTATTTGTTCTCTTGAGAGAATTTTATGTTAAAGCCCTGGCCTCTCTTTTAAAACTGTATGGTCCAGACAGAAAGTCTGTCAGTTTTGTGATTTAAAAATGATGCACTTTATATTTTAAAAATAATAGAAGCACATTTCTGATACTGGTCTGGTACAGTGTGTTTCAGTATAGTATAAAATGGTCTTCTGCATGCATGTCTGTCAGTGATTTGTTACAAGGATTAGATCAAATTACATGGGCATGATGAAGAAGAATAGGCACTACATTAAAATCGATTATGAGATATCAAGGGCATGTATTTTTTTAGAATTGTTGAGTCCTGCTCTCTCTGATTTACATAATCAACATTCCTGAAACTCAAATACTTCAACATATTTTTAAGGATTCCTGCAGCCTGTGCAGATATTGGTTAAATAATTCTGTCATATCTTTGCAATGTTGCTGCATAATCCCTCACCGCCTAAAAAGATTATTTTAGGGGCCTAGATTTTTGTGGCAGCTAGGCAAGTTGGTAGGAAGCAATGTGTATGACTGTATTTCATATAATGTAGCCTCCCCCCCCCAAGCATAACTTAAAAGGCTATTATGACAGACTTATTATAAGGTTCCATAGTATAAATGCAATTATCAGAAAATGAGAAGTTTGCAGAAGGACTGTCTTCAGTCTTATGTTCAAAAGTATGGGAAGTAAATATATCAGTGCTTGATAGACTATTTCACATTAATAAAGTACACAATTGTTGCTAGTGTTAGCATATCTTTTTCTTTATGTTTTCTACTAAAATACCATTCTGTTATTTTCCTTTATGCACTAATAGTATCACTTTTCATTATCAGGTAAATAGGAAGTTCTGTTAATTCCTTTTCCTGGTGAGCAAGGAAGAAACTACTACATCTTAAGCTAATAGAAGACAACTGTGTCCCTTGACTTCCTTTTTTGCAGTTGTTGGAGTCTGCTCTGACAAAGATTGTTCAAAATTGGGAGCGTACTTTCTTAACATTTTCCATAGAGAAATTTGTGAAAACTGCAATTTAAGCCCTATGTGATTTCACTTAAAAACAATTAATAAATATTTTCAGTAATATGCTTTCTAGTTAGATAGGTTTGCAATTCATACTTTAATTATCCTTAGGACAATTCTCCTAGATAATTTTTACCCTCAACTCATCTGTAAAACATGTCCATGAATTGCTTTTTTTGGCTGCGAGTGGGCTTAGCAAACAGACCGGCTTGAACCATCTTTGTCCAGATATTTGCTCAAATCCACTAATGAAAAAAAAAAAAACATATACAAGGTACAAAAGCATGGTTTATAGTTGTTTTGGTCATAGCATCACTTTTTTCAGTCATTAAAATCACTGCTAGCTGTTCCTCCATATACCTGTTCATGCATGTTTTTCTAGATGTATCAATACCCAGCATTAATAACCAATTGGATTTGTATGTCAATATACCTGCTTGTATCTACCAAAGGACAGTGTGAACTTGGTCAGAAGCCTTAATACATTTGTTTGTACAAATGTTATTACTGACTGTATTATAAATGCGTTGTATATATATCAAAGTTTTTCATGAAGTTTGGATCCTTCAGTTTCAAAAAGGCATATTTGAAACAGCTGCTATTAAACAAAACTATGAGATTTAGTTCACTGAGCTATGTGGTATGTTCGAGACTTTCAATTTAATATGTTTTTAAAATATGATTGGATTTTGGTGCGAAACATTGAGTCTATACTCTCAGTGGAACTGAAAAGTACAGTAGCAGGAAAAAATAAAAGGGGTCTTCAAGTAGGAAAGGCAGTATGAAGGTTGAATATTTGACATTGTACAAAGCATTTGAAGGAAGGCTTCACCAAGTGCATTGATAAAGTATCTCCACAAAATATTGAAGCAGCTCTATCCCCTAAAAGGCAAAGCAAAGTGGCTGTGTCTACACATGGGAAAGCCTTTGAAGCAGTCCTGCTGAGCCTTTCATAGATATAGCTGCCTTCAGTTTCTAAAGCATCAACTTATTTTGCAAATAATAAGGGAAAGAACAGTTTCTTTAATACTT